CATAGATGTGATATTAGAGAGCAGTTTAGGGCAGCTGAAGGGTGTGGGGAAAAATATCCACCCGGTTCAGTTCCAAGCCAGGAGAAAGAGACTGGAAACATGGAGGCTGATTGGAGAGAAGGTTTAATGATGAATAGAACCACCAAGCATGTAGTGCTAGTGTAGCTGGCAAAACAGAGTTGAGAGTGATGGGTTTTTATCCTTCTTTAAGCTTTGCACTTGAGTTTCCTGTTCCTGTGCAAGAACATGTATTCTATTGGCTGTTGTCAGACTCCAGGTAAGGGTTATGTAGGGGTCATGGCTGGCTCTATAGGCAAAGTACAAATCCTAGGCTTTTGTCTGAGCTAGGTTTGGTTGAAGTTTGGACTGCTCCGAGGGTGACGCAATAATTCCTATTGTGGCTTAATGGCTTTGTCCTGTGTTGTATATTGAGCGAGGGATAATCCTATCACTCAATGTGATATAATCCTATCAGTCTTTGCTGCCGGGAATTTCAAAACATCCCTGCCTTGAATGGATTTCTGCCTGCAGTATTTGCTTTGCCTATGAATAGAGCTATCTAGTTTTCAATATAGCTCTTTATCTCTTAAATGCTGACACGTGCTGTGGGCTATTTGTTATAATCTGCCGGCGGCCTGTGGAGCTGGCAGCAAAGTCGGACAGTGAGGAAGTTGGGATGGAGCATGAGCCAGTCCTGGAATCTGGGGAAGGCTCTGATGAGGGCTCTGCATTGGAGGCAGAGAGGGGGCCAAGGCCATCTGGTAGTGATGTGCTGCCTCCAGAGCCTCAACATCAGCGAGACAGAAGAACTGTGTGAGCCTGTTCCCAGTGTGCACATGCGCAGACCTACCAGAACGCAAGGACAGTTAAGAAAAAAGGGGCGACTCGGGAGTAAGACTTGGAGATGATTAGTTCCTCCCATAGGACATAAAAGAGGAGCAAACAGACTTGAGCCTTTGCAGGAAGCAATTTTGTTCCTTTTGGTTGGTTTAAACTCTGAAGCTCTGTTTTGACTCTGTGCTCCGTGTGGCCTTGAAAAACTAATTGGCAATTAGGTCTCTGGCAGCGTTTCAAGAGAGGAAAAGGTGGGTGCTTATCAGCCTTATCCCGAAAGACTTTGGCAGACTACTGTCGGACTCTTTACAAACTGTTTCTGACCCATTACAGGTTGTGAATGACCATAATTCACAACCGTTGAAATAAAGAGAGGGTTTGGGGGACTAAGTGTGTGATTTTCAATGCCTCGGGAAGCCTAGGTCGGAACACTATTAAGGAAGGTGGTTGTTGCTTTCTGCCTCTAAAAAAGACATGTTCTCCCTTTGGGAAATATAATATTCCGCCTTTTTAAATACTCCTCAAAGTATTTTCATTCTTCTAGGCTTCCCATAAGGGGTTAAAGAACAAAAAACAAGGCAACTTTGAAAGACAGCCAGATCATGAACAAGACATTTAGCCCACTCAGATCCGATCAAGGAAATAAATGAAAGCTGTTTTAATTTCACCCCTGAAAGAGTTGGCTCCAAGATGGAAGGTTAATGGCTGTTCTCTGGCATATCCATTTTTCCTCATCGACAGTATTAACACTCCACTCTAGGAAATAAAATGAGCAAATGAAATCGCCGCTGATGTGCCTTAAAATCGGGATCGTAGTTTCTCTGCATATTTTTAATAGAAAAAGCAGAGCTTAGATCTCAGGAAAAGAAGGGCATTTTCTCTCCCTTGTTTCAAACAAGAAGAATTTGGGGTTAAGATGGAAACATGGCCTGGGACCCGGATACCTACAAGACCATCTTCTGCCGCACACCTCCCTAAGACCGATAAGATTGCACAGGATGGGCCTTCTCCAGGTGCCATCAGCTGGACAATGTCGGCTGGCGACGCCTCGGAATAGGGCCTTCTCTGTTGCTGCTCCGGCCCTATGGAATGAGCTACCCCCAGAGATCTGGACGCTACCCACTCTCATGGCCTTCCGAAAACCTGGCTATTCCAGCAGGCCTGGGGCTGTTGACCTCTTGACTGAGGTCCAGCCCCGCTTAGACTGGGTGCATGTTGTGTTTCTTTTAATCTGTTGTGTTTTACTTGCTTTTAATCCTTCCTTAATATTCTTATTTCTGTAAGCTGCCCGGAGTCCTCCGGGATTGGGCGGCCTATAAATTCAATAAATAGAAATAGAAACAGGTGGCTCAGGGACTAAGACACTGAGTTTGTCGATCAGGAAGGTCGGCAGTTTGGCAGTTCGAATCCCTAGCGCCGTGTAACGGAGAGAGCTCCCATTACTCGTCCCAGCTTCTGTCAACCTAGCAGTTCGAAAGCACATAAAAAAAGGCAAGTAGAAAAATAGGGACCACCTTTGGTGGGAAGTGAACGGCATTCTGTGCGCCTCTGGGAGTTGAGTCATGCCAGCCACATGACCACGGAGATGTCTTCGGACACCGCTGGCTCTTCGGCTTTGAAACGGAGATGAGCACCGCCCCGTAGAGTCAGGAACGACTAGCACATATGTGCGAGGGGAACCTTTACCTTTACCTATGGAAACAGGTGCACAGGTGATCCTCGACTTACAACCACAATGGAGACCAAAATTTCTTTTGCTCAGCAAAAACATTCGTTAAGTGAGTTTTTCCCCTCCCATTTTGCAAACTTTCCAGCCACGGTTGTTAAGTGAACCACTGCAGTCGTTAAGTTAGTAACCTGGCTTTTAAGCAGATCTAGCTTCCCGGCGGACTTTGTTTGTGTGAAGGTCGCAAAAGGGAATCACATGACCCTCAGGGGCACTGCGATCGTCATAAATACGAGTCAGCTGCCAAGCTCCTGAATTTTGATCACATGAACTTGGAGGTTGTAAAAATGTGAAAAACAATCCTAAGTCATTTTTTTTCAGTGCTGTTGTAACTTCCAACAGTCACTAAATGAACTGCTGTATGTTGAGGACTTCCTGTATTTCCATGTATACTGTTCTGACTGAGGCTTCCCGAGAGCAGGAAGCAAACTCCTGGTCCCGACAAAAACCCCTTTTATTAATTTAGTGTGAATTCTGCTCATTCACATCCAGCAAAGTCTTTCAAGGGAGGATTTACGGTCACAGACCTNAGAGCAGGAAGCAAACTCCTGGTCCCGACAAAAACCCCTTTTATTAATTGACTGTGAATTCTTCTCATTCACATCCGGCAAAGTCTTTCAAGGGAGGATTTACGGTCACAGACCTTATCTGGCTTGGAGAGCTGCCAGGCTGATATCTGCAGAACTCGTCAAGGAGTCTCGGAGAGTCATAAACCAATTAAGCAAACTAATGGTCTCCTGCAAACTCCACTCCCCTTTTGCTCCCCTTTTATACTCTCTGGGAGGGGCCGTTCTTCGCCCACCTGTGGCCTTACTCTCAAGTCGACCCCTGTTCTTTAACTGTTCCCTTCATCTGGAAACTCTACGCATGCACACACTGGGAACAGGCTCCAGCTGTTCTTCTGCCTCACTGATGTCTGACTCTGGAGGCAGCCGATAACTGTCAGATGGCTCTGGCCCACTCTCTGCCTCTGACACAGCCCTCATCAGAGCCTTCTCCAGACTCCAGGACTGGCCCATCTTCCTCCCCGACCTCCTCATTGTCCAAATCTGGTGGGCCACAACATATGCAATGTATTTATCCAAATTATTAGATGGATAGCAGAGCAATTATAAACAGGCCAGAGAGAAGGAAGATCGAGTACTTAAGGAAGCAGACAGTGTGAGAAAAAGTAGCTAAATACTATAAATAAATATAATGCTGAAACTGGAGGCAGTGATAAAGATTGTGTTGACAGTGGCCAGTCACAAAAACACTTGCCAGGTGTGGTACATTCACCCCTGTAGTGTTAAGCAATTCAGAAGACACATTTCTCACAAGGGAGAAAAAAGACCAAGACGATGGACATGCATATTTTAAAAGATTCTTTAATATCTAGCTTAGACAGCGTAGGAGCATCGGGCGTCGTCGGTGGTGTCCCCACAATACTGATACACAACAGCAGCTGGAAGAGTTACACAGGACAGGAAGAAGAGTAGCCGGAAACACCACTCACAATCGGTGTGTTACAGGATGCCCAACCATGACGGGTTCCATAGAAATATTGTATCCCATTCTCATTTTAAGGATAGCCACGAGACATCGGTGTGGGACCACAGCTGGACTGTCAAGCAAAAATGCAGCTGGCTCAGCGATTCAAGAAACATATGGGCGCATTTCAACTATGCCTCATGTTACAGGAGTGGGCTGCTGGGAGTTCGCAGGGGTTTGGGAGAACCTCTAGCTAAGCTTCTGTGCAGTTCGGAGAACCCCCAAATCCCTCTCCTGGCTGGCCATGCCCACCTTGCCCCACCCCTCCCAGGAGTCCCAATGCGGATTGTTTTGGATGTAGATAAGTGCAGGGTGCGCGCAAAGGCTCGGGGAGGGCGAAAAATGGGCCTACTTCAGGAAGGCTGGAAATTCTGACATTTATCCTGAATTAATCCATTTCCTGGGTTTATGGCACACATTGATCCATCAACTCACCCAAAATTTATGAATCATAAAGTAAGCGAGGCTGAAGAAAAACCAAATCGGAGACTCGAAGTCATCGAATGAACTGGTGAAGAGAATTAGGGGGGAATGGAATCCCCACCCTGGTCCCACCCTCCTCTGCTTCGGCCCCGCCCCTTGTGCAGCTCACAACGACAAATAATAGACAGACACCCCCCCCCCCCCCGTGGTGGGGTCATCTAGCCCAGGGGTCTGCAACTTTAAACACTCATAGAGGTATTTGGATCCACTTCCCACAGAAAACACCGGGAACCACAAAACCTACCGGGGGGTTGAAAAGCTCAATAAATCGTATGCTGTTAGGTTTCGCATATTAGCAGCTGTGACACATATTTTGAGCGACAGGGAGCCCCAGCAGAGGGATGAAAGAACCACATGCGGCTCCAGAGCTGTGGGTTGCCAACCCCTGATCTAGCCCAAAGCTGCCTTGAAATCCAGGGAGGCCCTTAGCCTGGCTACTCCTTAGCACAAAGAGCCTGCAGGGGAAACATGGTGGTGGGTTACTATCGCTGCTCTTTCTTGATGCCCCCCCCCCACTGAAAACGACCAAGCTGCATGGAGAGGCTGGGGGGGACCAGCTCAGACCCAAGCCTTGACTTGGTGGTTCCACTCCTTTGTGCACCCACACAGGCCCCCTTCTTCGTACCACCGCCACTTCACGCCTTTGTAGACGGCACGGGCGCACGGCTGGAAGCAGAGGAAGAGGTGCAGCCGGCGGGCCAGGCTGCAGTAGAGAGCCATGGAGACCACGATGAGGGGAGACATGATGACAAAGCCCAGGATGATCAAGGCCGAAGAGCTATTGTCGTCCAGGATGGTCTGGCAGTAGTAGGCGGTCGAGTGGAGCACCTGCGAAGAGCAGAGGAAGTGAGTCAGGGGCGATGGGAATAGAATAGAATAGAATAGAATAGAATAGAATAGAATAGAATTTGAGAAGAGAACAGGAGTTATAGAAGAGAAGAGAACAGAACGAGTTAGAATAGAAGAGTTCAGAACAGAACAGAACAGGAATTAGAGAATAGAATAGAATATAGAATAGAATAGAAGTTGAGAAGAGAACAGAACAGGAGTTATAGAATAGAACAGAACAGAACAGAACGAGTTAGAGAATAGAATAGGAGTTAAGAAGAGATCAGAACAGAACAGGAGTTAGAGAACAGAACAAAACAACAGAATACAAGTTATAGAATATAATTAGAACAGAGCAGGAGTTAGAGAATAGAATAGGACAGGACAGGACAGGAGTTATAGAAGAGAAGAGAACTGAACAGAACAGGAGTTAGAGAACAACAGAACAGAACAGAACACAAGTTATAGAATAGAATTAGAACAGAGCAGGAGTTAGAGAATAGAATAGAATTAGAACAGAACACAACAGGAGTTAGAGAAGAGAACTGAACAGAATAGAACAGAACAGGAGTTAGAGAATATAATAGAACAGAATAGAATAGAACAGGAGTAAGAGAAAAGAAGAGACCTTGGAGGTCTTCTAGTCCAACCCCCTGCTTAGGCAGGAAACCCTACACCACTTCAGATGCCACACCGTTCATGTATTCAATACTTATGTACATTTAAAAAATTTTAAAAAAATATTTTAGCTTTTCTGATCCTACAATATGGAGAAAACTCTGTATTTATCCTGGAGAGCCCGTTGAATCGGTCCCGAGAAGAGCAGGCGGTCCAGATCGATTTTCTTCAGGCTGAAATCATGTTTTCTAACATGAAAGGCTGTGCCGAAGCCTCCGGGAGCCGAAAAGGAAAAAGCAATCTCAATTCAATTTTATTTACATTTATGGATAGCTCCCATCCCATCCAATCTGCTCTCTTGTCATGTTAAAATGCCCATTTTGGTGGGAATTGACTTTTTGCTTTGCCAAGAGGAAAAGAGGGGAGCGAAAAAGGGAGAGGAGAAAGATCTGAGAAGAAGAAAAAAATCAGAATGAAACATTGGATGCAAAGTCTGAGATTTCTACTTCTGTTTTTTAAATTATTTTTTTTTAAAGGGTCGGAGCGTTAAACCACATTGAAACAAAATCAGCAGCCTGACGTTTAGCCAGTCCTCGACTTACAACAGTTCATTTTAGTGACTGTTCAAAGTTACAATGACAACTGGGGGGGGGGAGTTAGCTATGATAGCTTTTCACACTTCAAAGTTACAATGGCCCTGAAAAAACCTTATGACCATTTCCCCCCTCTTATGATCGTCGCCACAAGTACTGTATTTTTCAGAGTATAAGATGCACCAAGGTTTTGAAGAGGCAAATTTTTTTAAAAAAGGTTTTTGCACTCTGCAAACCTCCCCAAAATGGGCCCATTTTTTGTCAAAAAAAGGGCATGGAAAGCCTTTAAGAAGCTTATAGAGTGCTCCTGGGGGCTGGGCAAAATTGAGCAAAAAACAGACCATTTTTAGCTCATTTCTACCCTCCCCAGCCTCCAGGACCTCTCTGAACGCCCCCTAAAGGCTATGCACAGCCACTTTGGTGAAGGGGGCAGAGTTTTGGGAGGCAAAACATGCTGTATTAAGTGTATAAGACGCACCCAGATTTTCAGCCTCTTTTTTGAGGGAAAAAGGTATATCTTATACTCCAAAAAGTACGGTAATTGTCTGCTACAGCCTGGCGTTTGGAAGATATCGGCCTGGCAGCTCTCCAAGCCCGGTAAAGGTCTGTAGTTGTGAAATCTCTTGAAAGACTGTTGGCTGGGACTTTGCTGGAGAGGAATTCCCTTTAACCTAAATAAAAGAGGTTTTTATTGGGATGAGGAGTCTGCTTCATGCTCTTGGGAAGCCTAGGTTAGAACAGGTATTGAGCAATATGTTATACATGGCTTTTCTAACTCTTGAAGATGAATCTCTGACTTTTCAGTTTTCTATAGATACCGTATTTTTCGGAGTATGACGCATCATGATTTTGAAGAAGCAAATTAAAAAAAAAAGTTTTTGCACTCTGCAGGCCTCCCAAATCCTCTGCACACCTCATTTTTTGCACAAAGAAGGGGAGGCATGCAGAACTTTGGGAGGCTTGTAGAGTGCTCCTGGGGCTTGGGGGGGGGGCAAAACGAGCAAAAACCAGCCCATTTTTCACAAAAATAGGCCATTTTTTGCAAAAAA